AGACTAGGAGTGAACCGCAATGCCACCAGGGCAAATAAATGGAAGTGGTGGGATCCTTAGGGACGTGGCAATGATGTTAGCGGAGCATGTCAGAAGCCTAGCTCTGTGCGCGGAAACCCCCAAGAAACACCTCTGGCTCCATGCCAGGCCCTTAGCAGCCTTCTGCCTGTGGGAAAGGACCCTCCGGCTCCCTTATGGGCCAGCTAAGGATTCATTCCTTTCCTTAAGAGGAACCGTGGGATAGGGATGGTGAAGAGGCAGAGCAGCCAGGTCACTTCCCTCTCCCAGCTCTGGGCATGGAGGAATGTCCTCGGGAAGAGGCCGCAGTACCACCACCGCAGGCTCACAAGCTGGCCAGAAAATGTTCCTCAGAGCAGCTCTGAGACCGCTTGAAGCTGCTCTGGGGAGTGATTTGGTAAGCAGCCATCCCCGGGACACGCATACCAAACAGGTGGCACATGTATCTTCATCTCCTCTTCCCGGCAGGTGTCTTAAGCACAACCTAACTGAATCAGGCCAATGACTTCAGCAGAGTTATTTTTGGTTTAGCCAGCCAATGCAAAAGGGACAACCAAAATCCTGCCTGTTAAAACAAAAATTGTCACAGAACCTCTCAGGAATTTGAAAGCAGAAAGCTTGGACCATGCAAGAGAAGCTGTAGGGTTTGCTTTTGCCTTATATAAACCAGTTGTATGCCAATTTGATGTCACTGGCTGAAGAACGATGACTGCTGGAGATGAGACTCTTGCACACAATAACCAGGCGCATGTTAAATGCATTCACACTTAAGCAGCTTGCATTTTACACAGTCAACCCTCTACTGTCTTTCTGTTTTTGCTACATAACTAACTACCGGCTTAGAGAGTCATTCTTCCTTAGGAAAGCACAGCTTTGCAAAGCTGAAAGAAACTCCAAGGACTCTGTGGGGCAACTTCTGACAGACTAGGAAAGTAAACAGAAGAAAGAAACAGATCCTGACACTATCAGGAAAAAAAAAAAAAAAAAAAAAAAAAAAAAAGTGCTCTGTCTTACTGAGATTTGTTTGTGACGGTCGGGCTGTGAGCAAACAGGACCATATGGATATGGGGCAGGGTATTGTGTCTAAACTTCCCACCACACGGAGCATTTTGGCAGACCACCCTTGTGCACGCTGCAACCCGAGCCGGGAGATTAGCAGAGCTAATCCACTTCCAGGGGTGCTTGCGATAACACCTTCAGATAAGGTGTTGAAGACCATGGTTACCTATATTGACATGGCTTTCACCTATTACTCTAGTATCCTCAAAAATATTCAGCTCCTCCAGAAACAGAATTTCACCCATCACCAAATGTTGCCTGAATCTTGCTGCTTATAACTGCTGTATAGGCACTTTTCATATTCAGCAAGATTAAGATAATAATAATGTTTCTCCAAACATTAATTTATCTCTTCTAAAGAGGACAACTACAGCAGGAAGGGGACAACTACAGCAGGAAGAACCACAGGCATTTTAATTTCAATATATATGATGGAAGATATTATACATATAACCACATATTACATGCATGTGTTCGGAATTTAAATCATCAGTTGCTTAATTCAGCCTATGATGATTTTCTGTATTATGGGTTATTCATTTAACTTCTTCAGTCAGTGTTCCCTAGGAAGTCCAATAAAACAAGTACAAGGATCACTTCTAAATTTTGAAGAATTACTCACTTTCGATCAACAATATATAAGACTTGTAAACAAAATCCCCATTCTACTATTGTTTTCACTGTACTAGCTACTCACATGTAATATATATTTGCATATATTTGGAGTTTTTAAATGCTGGAATTTTAATTTATTTCACTTCTATCTCCTCTCCCTTTGAATATTTTTTATCATGTACAAACGACAGCAACTGATTTTGCAGTTTTGTGACAAACCCAACTTCAGGTTAGGCTGCAATATGCACTTGAAGAAAAACAGGGAGAAGGGCTTAGAATTTATTTACAAAATATTTTAATTAAAAGAAGTCTTTTGCTTGTGTAGACAGACCTTCTTATGTACTGTGAATCAATATACTTCTGTCTACTTGTTGACACTAAAGTCAGGAAGACTTGAAGCAGCGTCACTAGTTTATTCGGTAAGATGCCAAGATGCAATTATTTACATAAAAATGCTATTAAGCAAGCTGTCCAACACAAACATGTGTTCATGCCATGTAAACATAAAAATGTAGTCCTGATTCTAGCCTCTTCAAGAATTCTGAATTTTAAAGACCGAAACTGTACCAGAATCTGTAGATAAACAATCACATAAGGCATTGTAACACATCCTGCCCAAAAAGAGTAAAAATAACTTCGCTACTTTCATTTGGATAGTTAGGATTTAAGAAAAAGCACTGCCATGAATGGACTCAGAGCATTTTGCTAGAGGTACATCTAAACAGCAAAATTTGGACTTTGCTATAAAACCCTTCTCAAATTCCAAAAAATCAGTCTTAGAAGGAATGTGCAGGTTAAGATGAATAGCAGTTACAAACAAAATTAAATTAAATTAAAAACTGCACATGGTCTGTAATCATCAGTAAAATCCATTACTTCATGCAGATTAATTGCATGGCTGGATAATAAAACTGGAAATGTTTATGACCAAGTGTTATTTGAACTTCCCCTGCACAAGATAAGGATAATCTTGTTCTACTTTCCCAACCATAAACTGATCCACCCAGTTTTCCACCCACTCAGATTTCTCCCCATGCAGGGCATTTGCAACAGATTCAGGGCCAGACCATGAAGTTAATTTGACATCGGGTCCTCCAGAACACAACCCAGAGAAAGAACAACCCACACGTAACCCATTGGACACAGATCTGAAATTTATTGCCCTCCTAAACATTCCTAGGTTGGGAGACATAGGTGCCTCCAGATCCTGGAACCCTTCCCTGAAGATAAAGTAATGGAACTCTGTGCTCACTCGTAAAATGTGTCTTGAGGAGGAATACAAGGTATCTGATAGACCTATCTGCTAATGGAGCGGTTAAAGCACTTGAGAAGAGGGAAGGCCAGGCATTGTGTCTTCCCTAGCCTAACGGGATGCAATCCTGCAGCTCCCATTTCTTAGGAGTGCAGGAGACAATCAGCTCCAAAGGGCATTGTGATGAGGAGAGGGAGGACTTCATTTCTGAAGCTGAACGATGTGAAAAAAGGAAGAGGCCTCAAGGAGACGCAAAAAAAGAGTAGGCCTTGCTGCTTCCTCCTCCTCTAGCAGTCGTGATTTAAAAGCTGGTTTGCTATTACCACATTTCAGAAGTGCTTGAGGATGAAATTATCTTTCATTTGGAAATGACTAATATCAAGAAAGATGAGGGAAAATATTTGAAGTGGCCTGCTGAACATACACCTTTCTTCGCCTATGCATACCCACGACTTCAATGTGAAATAAATATTTCCCACTACTGGACCTTACATATATGTGCACTGTTGAATGCTGATTAAAAAAAAAATGGTAGATATACATGAAATATTTTGAGTATTTTGGATGTGGAACCTATGGTAGGTCATAAAGAAAAATAAAGGAAATTGCTATCTTTTCCCCAAATTACACTATATTGGCAGCTTCCACAGGTTTTGGTATTTTATGCCTTTTTTCCTGGAAACCTCATCTGTTCCACAGGTAAACACTAAAGCATGGCTTTGTTTGCTAGAAGTAGGCTTCTAAAAAGAGAAGGAATAAAAAGCAAAACCCGAGAACTAACACTCCTATCTAAGGCCTTAAATATCTATAACCAGAAGGTAAATAACAACCTTTTGCAAATTGATGTTAGGAAATAACCCTGTCAATCTGGCTGGGACATACTCAGGACTTATGAATGAGCAGTTTCACAATCCAGTTTGAACATTAGACCACCCCCCTAAAAATGAGCCCCTCGGGCTGGTAACGACTCCTGGGTCTGGGGAGCAGGGTGGACATGGTGGCTCATGCACAGTGACACACATAAGGTAAACGCAGAGTGCGAGTCACTGCACCTCTGCTCCGGGTGACAGGGAGACAGCCCTGTCCTAGCCAGCTGGCTAGGACACCTGGTCCCTCAGTCAGCCCCCTAGACAGTCGGTCTGTCAGGGAGACCCCTGGTCAGTCAATCAGTGCACCTGCCAGTCAGCCCCCAGCCTGTCAGTCAGCCCTCCCGCGCAAACAATCAGTGGATCAGTCAGTTAGCCCATCAGTCAGACCCCCAGTCAGTGATTGAGACCCGCAGTCAGTCGGTCAGTTAGTCCGGCAGTGAGCCCCACAGTCGGTCAGTCAGTTACCCCTCGCCCCCGTCTGTCCGTCAGCCCCCGCTCCGTCAGTCAGCCAGTCCCCGTGTCCCTCAGCGAGGCTCCCGGTCAGTGACTCCGTGAGCCCCGGTCCGCCCGCGCGCGCGGCGCTGCCCGCCCCGTCGCGCAGCCC